TTTCATCAAAACATTCTTTTCCAAAACTCCCCATTTTCATTTCAAAAACAAATTTCTTCCCTTCATGCAGCCCAATGGTGTACATGCATGTCTCATGATCTCAATACTATGAAAATGAGGAATTTGACACAACACAAGTAAGCATGTTCTCATACTTCTAATATTAAAACAATATGCTTTCATACATCATTCATAGCATGTAAATAATACAATAGGCATAACTCACAATATAAGCATACTTTTCAAATAGTTCAATTGTGATACCCCCGGATTTTCGAATGCGGGTTGGCAAGGCCCACGCTCGAATACCCGGGGATATCAAAATAAATTAATAATAAACGAACACAGAGTACAAAAGAATAAAGAAGAATAAATAAAATGCTGACAAGAAACTAAAATGATAATCTAATAATAGACCTCAGAATATATTTCCATTAATTAATAAACTCTTCTGATACAACTGATCCTCCAAAATACAACTCGGGAATCCATACTGTGTGGACCTCTAGAAAATCCAAACTAAACAAATGACAGCAATAACTGTCTAAATCAGGAAACTAAATCATAAAGGAACTCCTATGTAGCATCGGAAGAATGAAATAGACTGATCCCCGCTTAGCACGAACAACCTCTACTCCTGACGAATACCTGAAAAATAATGGTGGGTCAGGCCCACAAACAAGTTCTACTCTACTACAGTCCAAATAGAGATCCGATACACGTATACATCCTAGTCAATCCAACAGTAACTAGTAGTCCGTATATATATATATATACATACACACTAAATGAACCTCACTACACTATAGGGTTGTCTCAACCTGAATAGTAGGCAACATGCAAAACGCACATATAGTGGGCATAAGTACCTAGACCTACCAGGGTACACAACTACACTATATCTAGCTACACATCCCTGGCGATATACGCACCCTAACCACTGATCCTGAGACTCAAGCTCATATCCCTGGCACCATACTTATATATATAAAATCTAGTAACCATCATATTCAATATAAATTAATCCTCCACAAGTAATCCAACTTGTTCAGCTGACCTGACTTGAATATAAGTAGGACTTAACATTTTAGTTAATCCATTCCCTTATATAAAATAGGTAGGACTTAACTGATAAGTTAATCCGTCCCTAGAATGCCACCGTCCCATACCGGTGCATTAAACCACACAATCTAACAATTAATGTAACGATTAAGGAAATATATCAAACAATCCAGAAATAACTATGATAATATGATATCAAGTTATCACAAAATAAGAATAACTTATTATTTATTTAAACTTCCTGTATCATATGTACTACATAAACTGAATCTTATACATATGATGATATTTTATTATACCGTCAAATAAGCATTCTTCATATCCAATTCATCCTACACATTTAATCTCAATTGCTAAAACATATTAAAAGATTAAATTCATTCATTTGTTTAAAATATTCAAATAGTAAGCATCATTATGATTCAGTCTATTTAAATTTATTTAAACCCAAACCTAGTTCCTATTTAATGTTCAGGAATCCTAGGCATGTTTCTACATTCCATCATTCCACAGATATGAAAAATACATAATTTAAATATGTAAAAATTCACACCAAAAATCAAATCCAAATCATGCATTTATCAATTCATAACACAAGAACAGATATAAACCAAATTTATAAAACCTATATTCTAATCCAATTAAACATGCATAATTATTTAATTTTATGTGTTTAATAAATTATGGAATTTCCTAGGCATGTACAGAAACACGAATCAAAAGGAAAGAGATCGAAAGTTACACTTCTCTACAGGGTTTTTCTCCTTCTTCCCTCATTTTCCTCATTCCCTCTCCAACTCTCTCTCTCTCTAGAATATATCACGTGAATATTTCTAACCCCTTTTTACAACCTATAGTTATATATTTATAGGCTAAATAAAATAACCCTAACCATTTTCCCAATCCAAGTCAATTTAAAAAAATTAAAATTAAAATATTAAAAAGGTAAGTAAAATATGTTACGTATATAATTTATGTATATCTTTATTAAATAAATACATTATACATATCCATTATTTATTAATGGATTATCCAATAATACTTAAGTTACCACAATATTATAAAGTAACTTAAAACATAACACGTATCAAATCTATATATATTTTTATTATTTAAATATAAAACATATACATCAGATTGAATATTACTACCCAAATTACCATAAAAGTAATTAATAAATTACTTTCCCTTTTAAATTACCATAAAAGTAATTAATAAATTACTTTCCCTTTTATATATATTAAAAAGGTAAGTAAAATATGTTACGCATATAATTTATGTATATCTTTATTAAATAAATAAATTATACACCTTCCATTATTTACTAATGGATTATCCAATAATACTTAAGTTACCATAATATTATAAAATAACTTAAAATATAACACGTATCAAATCTATATATATTTTTATTATTTAAATATAAAACATATACATCAAATTAAATATTACTACCCAAGCTACCATAAAAGTAATTAATAAATTACTTTCCCTTTTATATATGTATATAATATATATCTATATATATATACATGCATAACTATCTATGGGTAATAATCCATACACATCCAACCTCCTATCCAAGTAATCTATGGGACTCAATTGGTTGGCCCATGACTACTAACTATAACCATAAAAGAAAAATAAAATAAAATAATAAAAGAAAAGAAAACATTTAATTTACAATTAATCAAAACACCATTTAAACACATAATCTAATTAAACAATTAACACATAGACAAATACAAATAATACAGAGACACATAATCAAATAATCAAGTAATACCTAATTCAATTAAACACATAAGCAATTAATCAAATAATCAATTAAATAATTACAAATACAATTAAAATTAAATAATTAAAAATACAATTAAAACAAACAAATAAATACCGAAACTATCCTTTTAAAATTAGGAGTATTACATCAATCAAGACAAGTCTTCACATATTCACATATATACATCCAAGACATTTTTTTTTTGCTACAATTAACACAAATAAGCATGCTATAACATAATTCAAGTAAGTTAATTCACAAAGGTGCATGAATAATGTGAATTAGGAAGCCCCTACCTCAAATTGAGCAAAACCCTTAAAATGATTAAGAATTTCGAAATCTAAGGGAAGCACCAAAGCTGAAATCGTTGGTATCAATGTGTAGAGCTCGTCGTGCTCTCCGTTTTGCCTCAAACGGCTCTCAATTTCACCAACTAATGAAGAAAAAATCTTAACTCAAAGTTTGATGCAAAATAAGAAGAAAATGAAGAGAAGAATGAGGGAGAAGGAAAATGAATGGAGAGAGAGAAAAATGAGAGAGCAAGAGTGGTCTCTAGACCACAAAATGGCTAATGGTGGGCCCTACCACTTCCATTATATTTTCTCTCTCTCTTTTGCCTTTGATTTTTACCACACAACACAAAAAATGCACCACCATACAAATGCTACATAGATCACTTAAATTCAAATGCACAAAATGCAAATGAATTCAACTAAAATCCCGCACTCAAGACGTGAAAGGATAGAAATGCCCTTGCGGCGACAAAACCCCGGAAAAGAAAAATGCAGGAAATCGGAAACGTTACAAAATGACTCCAAGTCCAAAATTTCTAAAATGCATTATACATATACAAGTCAATACAGCCTGTTTTCAATTTCTACAATACCTATACTTTCAATAGACAATTAATTTGTCATCAATCTATTTAGAAAATCCAGAAAGGTACCGGTCCTTATGAGTAATGATCTTAGCATTCAGTGTCAATCCCATCCCCATGTGAGTGAGACCCACAAATTTAGAAATTGTATGAACTTTTCGGATTCTTTCAAAATTCAAGAATGCCTTATTTAACAAGAATACAAAGAAACTAAAAAGGAAAACTTGACTCTGCAAAAGTATTGCGTACAGGCCACTTACTCAACAAATATCTTGACTCTGCAATAGTTTTTATTAATCAATCAATCCATATATATATATGCATAATATGTTTCCAAACACTGAATATTGATTCTCCCAATAGAATATGGTTGCCTGCAACAACAACTCTTGGACCCTTCTTCAATTACCTTATAAGCTTCTCTATTTTTCATTCATGATCTTCTTCTTTTTTTCTTTATTATATTAGTTCCTTATGCAACTCCACTCAACTTCAGCTTCCCTACTATCACACAAGACTTTAAGAATGTCAAAATATTCAATTATGGAAGTGCTAGTACCTCAGAACAAGGCATCCAACTTACGGGCAGGGACGTGCTCACAGCTGGTCGAGCCATGTATGGTGAATATCTGCACCTTTAGGACAAGGCTTCTGGAAACCTGGCCAACTTTGACGCCCATTTCTCCTTTGTCAATGATTCAGAAGGAAGACAAGTTTACGGCGATGGGCTTGTTTTCTTCCTCTTTCCCTTGTTTCCTAATTACAGTATAATCCTCAGCACAGAAGCTGGTGCTCTTGGTCTTCCAATAGACCACGCCACAGTAGGTCTTCCAGTGGAGTTCAACACTTACAAGAATCATTGGGATCCCTACAACAAGTCTGACATTCATGTAGGTATCAATGTTAACTCCCTGAAGCTCGGGGGAGAAAATGAAGCTTGGATTAGTTATAGTTCTGACTCAAATATTCTGAGTGTTAGCTTCACTAGTTATTTTGATCATGCCATAGTTCAACAAGGTAACCTTAGTTATATTGTTGAGTTCCCAAAAGCCGGCTTGTCAGAATGGGTTGCTGTTGGCTTCTCAGCCTCAACCGGAAAGGGTGACGTCGTCGAAAAACATACCATTAAATCATGGAGTTTCAATTCAACCAACCCAGCGCCAAAGAAGCAAAACAAAACAGCACTAGTGGTGGGACTAAGTGTTAGCTGAAGTGTTTTGGTTAGTGGATTGAGTTTGATTGCCATTTTCTTGTGGAAGAAAAGGAGTAGAGGAAAAGAAGAAGATGCAGCATTTGTCTTTGATCAATCCATGAATGATGAATTCAAGAAGGGTGTCGGACCAAAGAAGTTATCCTACGGTGAGTTGGCTCATTCAACAAATAACTTTGCAGAAGAAGAAAAGCTTGGAGAGGGAGGATTTGGTGGAGTCTATAGAGGTTTCTTGAGGGAATTGGACTCTTATGTAGCTGTGAAGAGGGTGTCAAGAGGTTCTAAGCAAGGGCTTAAAGAGTGTGCATCAGAAGTTAAGATCATTAGCAGATTGAGGCATAAGAATCTGATGCAGCTCATTGGTTGGTGCCATGAAAAAAATGAGCTGCTACTCATTTACGAGTTCATGCCAAATGGGAGCTTAGATTCCCATCTTTTTAAAGGAAAAAGCCTATTGACATGGGCACTAAGGTACAAAATTGTGCACGACTTGGCGTCTGCTTTGCTCTATCTTCACGAAGAGTGGGAACAATGCGTGCTGCACAGGGATATTAAATCAAGCAATATTATGTTGGACTTAAATTTCAATGCCAAAGTTGGGGATTTTGGGCTAGCTAGGCTTGTTCACCATGAAAAAGGATCTCAAACAACACTTTTGGCAGGGACATTGGGCTACATGGCTCCTGAATGTGTCATCACGGGCAAGTCTAGCAAGGAATCAGATGAGTATAGCTTTGGAATCGTTGCACTGGAAATAGCATGTGGAAGAAAATCCATTGATGTAAGGGCACCAGAAACTCAATCAAGACTGGCGGAGTGGGTTTGGGACCTCTATGGAACAGGAAAGCTTCTTGAAGCGGTAGACCCCAAATTATGTGCAAATTTTGATGAGCAAGAGATCAAATGTTTGATGATTATTGGGCTTTGTTGTGCTCATCCTGATTACAATCTGAGACCCTCAATAAGACAAGCAATTCATGTGCTTAATTTTGAAGCTCCACTTCCCATTCTCCCATCAAAGATGCTTGTACCAACATATTTTGCTCCTGATCCCATTGTCTCTGAGAGTAGCCAAATCCATTATCCCAGCTATGGTGACAATACAGATTCCTCAAAGTTTACCATATCTTCTATAAATTCCTCCCCATCTGCATCACTTCTATATACACGGTAAGGTGATTGAAAGGATATCAAGTTCAAGATTGTCATGTAATTGAGGTGTATTGGACCTCTTCATTATTTTTCCTCTTTTTGTTCTTACATTTCTTTAGCAATTGTAAATGTTTCTTCAATTTTTTATGCAAATTCTTTATAAACCATTTAAAATATTGCCACCATGACTTTAAAGTTTAAACTATCAAATGGGTAAACACAAATGTTACATAAACATGGGACTAACAAACACTACAAATTGCACCATATAGGATTACTCACATTTGCCTACTCCTTTTACGACATGTCTTGTTGTCCTGTGTATGAGTAGAATTTTATGAATGACAATTGGACAAATGAATTGGGTGACTTGCTCTGCCCGACCCTATTGTCATGGAATTGTTACATAATACTGTTTACTAATAAAAAGTCAATCACATAAACTGAAATTTGAAAGTCAGCAACACTATTCATCAAAGTTCACCTCATCTTCCACAGATTCTGGTAATACTGGTGCTGCTTAGCTTGTAAGTTGATTTTAAATATATTAAGTTTGTGCAATGCACGCACGTAATGTAATAATTGCAGTTCTGAAGCTTATATGGAAGATAAACAACAACAATTCTCATAGCCTATTGGCTAATTGGATCAACTTTTATTTGCTGAAAAACAGAAGCTTTTGGGTTCTGAACATACCTCTCAAAATTCCCTCTAGCACTTGGATGAAAAAAGCCGCAGTTAAGGTCCATTGCTAGGCCTTTTATCAAACATCATATAGGCAATGAAGAGTCCACCATGTTTAAGTATGATGCTTGGATTCCACTGAGTCCTCTTTCATGCAGAATTAACAATCTCTCCATCCATACCCTCTCTGAAGCTGAATTTGTCAAAGTCAGTGCGGTCGTCAGAGATGGAAATTGGGTCCTTCATCTCTGTTGAGGCAAATCCTCGAACTAAGGTCCATTGACACTCCTGCTCAGCTAGACCTCAACCCTGAAGACCAAACCAGTTTGGTTCCTTCTCCTAACAAGCTTTTCTCCTTTTTTTCCCCTGGCCATTCATTCATTCTCTGGCTAGCTCTGCAGATTATCAACCAAAACTCTTTATTGTAACTTCAATGCCCTAATTTTTAAATTTCGAAAAAAAAAATTCAATGCCCTAATTTTTGCACAAAGGTCATCTCCAAAAGCTTTTTTGATATGTTGGGCTGAACCCCTCTTGGGCTATGGCATTTCTTTTGGTTGGGCTTGCCCATGTTTTCTGTTTTTCTGATTGCCTTTTTACTACCCTGCAGTTCTCTATAAAAAATAATAATAATAAATAAAATCCTCATTTTCTTAAAATATTACAAATAGTGTCATTACAAATTTGGCCTAAAATCTTGCTTCTTATAATTTCTAAGTCCAAAAATCACATGCCTAGAGTCTTTCGGCTTTCTACTGAATCCAGTTAAATTTAGAATTCTTTACTTACATTTATAATAATAAATTTCATTATTTACTCTGAAATAATTTTTTTTTAAATAATAGCATTTTTTGAAACACAATAAATCATGAAAAATATCAAATGATAAAAGGTAGTAAATAAGCAATTTATAAAAACTTTTGTTTTACATTTTAAAAGTGGGCCTCTCCAAATTTCAAACAATAGTTAGATTTAACACCACCACAAAAAAAATAATAATAATAAATAAAAAATAAAAATAAAAATTACAGTAAGAGTGTGAGCGACTGCTATTAGCAAAACTCTTAATTATATACATTGCTTAAACTTTTGAATATATATATATATACACACACACACATATATGTTTCTTCTCTTTTTCTTTAATTGTTACACTTAGCATATTATTGTTTCTTTAGTTCTCAATCAGAGCATCAGTTGTTGTTGTGGAAACAAAAATCTATTCCACCCCTCTTTTGTGCAAGTGAAAGTTTTGACAGAAAATACAACAAGGGGGGTGTTGAGCTGTTTATGTAACTTAATTCCTATCGAAATTCTTGTCACACATATGTTTGTACCATATGCAAATGGTGTTGAGCTGTTTATGTAACTTAATTCCTATCGAAATTCTTGTCACACATATGTTTGTACCATATGCAAATTGACCCGTTGTGGAAATTAACTATGTTTGTACCATATGCAAATTGACCCGTTGTGGAAATTAACTATAGTTCTCAATCAGAGCATCAGTTGTTGTTGTGGAAACAAAAATCTATTCCACCCCTCTTTTGTGCAAGTGAAAGTTTTGACAGAAAATACAACAAGGGGGGTGTTGAGCTGTTTATGTAACTTAATTCCTATCGAAATTCTTGTCACACATATGTTTGTACCATATGCAAATTGACCCGTTGTGGAAATTAACTATAGTTTTTAACTTTGCTCATTTAACGAAGCAAGATGGTCATTCTCAAAACTGATCTTTTCTCAATTGACAAAGTGATTATGACATAGCTTCAATGTTTTTGACATTTATTAGGTTCGCAAACGAAAAACATTTACTACAACAAAAGTGACCTTTAGCAACGTTTTTTTCGTCACAAAAAGTTACATTTTCATTGCTAAAAGTTTTTAGTGACGAAAAATCATTCATCAATATTTCGTCGCTATTGCATGACTTTTAGAGCCTGTTTGACATGCGCTTTGTTATAGGCATTTTGCTTTTGGTTAAAACAGAAACAGTGTTTTTGTTGTAGGAGTGTTTTTAGAAAAAATCAAAAACATTTTTAGAAACGATGTTTTGCTGTGGAAATGTCAGAAACAGAAATATGAAAAATATGGTTTTTAGGTCTTGAACAGTTGTCAAAATAAGAAAAAACAACTTTTTGATATTTTGTTTTGGGTCACTGTTCACGAAGTGTTTTAGGACTGTGTAAAATAACACAAGGTCACACCAAATATGGTTTTGTTGCCAAAATTGATACTGTAACAATCTAAAAACAAAAATAACAAAAACAAAACGCATGCCAAACGAGGTTTTAGCGATGTTACTTTTCGTTACATCTGTTTGCCTTTTAGTGACTCAAATGTTTGTTACATTTTATTGGGCATTAGCAACGAAAGTTGTCGTCACTAACTTACCCAATAACTAATGTCTTTCGTTGCTAAAAACCAATTTTTGCATGTTTTCTAAACTTCTTATCGTTTTTGTTAATATTAAAAAAAGTCCAAATAGAAACACAGGTCCACACATTTCAAACTCTATATAGCAACACAAATTTAAACATAATATTAAATTTTATTATGAAATACATAATAATTCTGAGTTCAAAAATAAAATTAACATAAATTTGAATAAATTTCTACATTTGTTCAATTCTAAGTCAAAATATAAACTAAATTTCTAATTGTCTAATACAAAAGACCAAACTAAAACATAAAAACAAACTCCCAACTCTCCCTCTATGGCAGCACCTCAAAGTTCCGTTAACACTAGTCTTCTGGAATCTTAAAATTCTTCCAACTGTTTGTGTGGCTTTATGTATTTCGCCTTTGAATACAGTAATTCCACAAGAAGCCACTCTAGCAGCTGCAACAAAAATGATATATATATATATATATATATATATATATATATTTTTTTTTTTTTTTTCAGTAAATGGAACAATGGGGACTGTGAAAGTTAAACATAAAAATTAAATAGTATTCTTCAAAGATGAATAAAATATATCTTGATTATCAACATGAAAAATGAATTTCTTCAAAGAGATGCACATTATCAACATGAAAAATGAATAAAATATAATAAATACAAAAATTATTTATCTAAGTCATCATCTCAGCAAGTTCTTGGAAGGAACCTCATTGTTAGGATTGCCCACTACTCACATTGAATTTCGGTTTGCACCACCTGAGTTTCCTGAGAATAAACAGACAACTAAATTATTAATTCTGTATAACAAACAATAAAGGGAAGAATATCACACAATAGGCTTACAGGAAAGTTAGTCCTAATACATGAAAGTAGTCCTAATCTAATTTTATTAAATAAGTCAATTGTTGATAGAAGACTACAGAAATATATAACCAAAAAAATACTCAACTTAGCAAAGGGCCAAGAAGGAAATAAAATAAGAGTGATATTGTAGTAGTGGCTTAAGTAGATCCAACAAAGATGAAACTAATAAAATAAAATAAAAAAGGAAACTACAAGAGGAAACATCTGAAACTAAAAATAAGACACATCAGCTGTAAATATAAGCTGACAAAATATATATATATATATATATATATATATATATATATATATATATATATATTGAATAGAATACAAATATAAAAGGAAAAGAAAGTAGTTGGTACACCATAAACTATTACCCTTTGGACTCATATAAGTGTAAACAATGGTAAACGTACCTCTTATCATAGTGAGTAAAAGTCAGACCATATTTGACATTCCACAAACTAAATGTATGGTCAAATAAGAGAAATTACAAATAATAATAATAATTTTAACTGAGTTTGGGTAGAGTGTACTCCCATGATCTCACTGCCATTCTTGTCTATTAAAAGACTTGATGCCCACTAAAATAGGATATTCATCAAATACAAGCTTATTACTAATAATTTTGAACCTAACAAGATTGACTTGAGCATACAATCTAAATAGCTCAATTAAGAATACTACTGAAACCAATTGGATACCTATTTACTTTCTAATTATAGCCTAGTTAATCAGTCGCTAAATCTGAAACAAAAATGATAAAGAGTAATATTGTTGAGCAAAAGATCTTTTAATAGTTAAAAGAACACATTGCATTTATACTCAGCAATAGTTTTTAAAAAGAACATTTAAGCCACAAAAAGAGAAAGGGAACTAGGAAAAAGAGACAGAGAGACAGAGAGAGAGAGAGCAAATGGAATGAATCCATTGTATCATTCTTTCAATGTTTATAAGACTATAAAAATGTTCACTCCCCCCAAAAAAGTTTAATGGTTGGTGTTACAGAATATATAACTTCGACCATAGGGATAAACTAATAACATCCAAGATAAGGGTTAATTTCTACACATAATAATCAATCTTTAGGAAAACAATCAATTCCAAAACCACAGAGAATTTAGGGTTGATGATTTAGCTTGGATCAGGGAAAATAATTAGAATTTTGCAGTCGGAATTGTTACGAGGATGAACTAGAGAGAATCTAACATAACATATAGAAAGAATGAGACTCTTTTAAATCACAATGGAGTACAAAAATGTTGCTCACCAACAGGTACATATAATTCTTAATGATAAAAAAATAAAAACAAATTAAAAAAATGATTTTGTGGAGCTTAATCAACTCAATCCTGTTATAGATTCTTTTAGTGTAAAAAAAAAAAAAAAAAAAAAAAAAAAAAAAAAAAAAAAAAAAAGGTATTCACTCCATAATTATATACTTGACATAAAATGGTTTCAGTGGGCACATATCTTGGAAAACAAAAGTAAAAGAAACAGATTAGAAGCAGTTGAGAAGATAAATCATGTGATATTGTTGCTGGAATCTAGTTGGAACTTGCTCTTTAATTTATTATAGATCACCTCAAATTTCAAATAAAATGTAAATTTCACCAATACATATTAAATAGATAAGGACTCAAAATATATACACATATTTATTTGCTCATATTCAAATCTATGGATATAGAGTGTATAATTCCTATAGATTTTAAAAACTCCTTAACATATTCAATTTTGGAGCAAATCCTCTTTATCTTTTTTGATAATGCTCTTATATTATATATAATATAAGGGCATTAGGAGAGAGATAAGGGTATTTTTGAAATTTCATATCTTAACAATGATTTCAAACCGTTCTTTTGCTCATTTTTTTCAACTCAACCGATATAAACAACATAAACCCTTATTTACTCATTTTTTTTCCAAACTTAACAGACTTATATAAATAATTATATAAGCCCTTGTTCATTTTTTAAAATTTAATAGACTTATATACACGTACAATATAAACAATAAAGTATTATTTGTTCAAAATGTAAACATTATGGTTTTTATTTTTTATTTTTTTTCATTTTCTACCCCCATTTATTATTACATTACTGCATATGTGATAGCTCTAGCTTTTGTTGGAATCACTTTGATACCATTTTGTTGTTGGCAATAGCCTGCACTTGTTGGAGTTATTCTTAAAACTCTAAAATTATCTTAATTACTGTTGGCATTATACAATAAGTTCATTATTTTCCACATTAACATGATCAATTACATTATAGGTGCATTCCTCAAGGGTACGTTTCACAACAAATTTATCTAAAAGAGATATAAGAATGAATTTAAAAAAAAAAAAAAAAAAAAAAAATTCTACAATTTAGAGAAAAAAAACATGATATTTATATTAATAGATTAAATATTAAACTACCCAGCTTTACAGTTTTAATTTGATCATATATTTGAACATTGATTTACATCCCGCCATCCGCTTTGCACTTTTAATTCAGAGTTGTAGCACTGGATCAAATTGTAGCATGTGGAAGAAACCAAATGCATTTGTGTTGGCTTAACTGGCACCAAAAATAAAACAAAATAAAAATAAAAATTATTTAACTAGCACCAAAAAAAAAAAAATAATAATAATAATAAAATAAGCTTCACCTATATGATAATGAAATCTCCCCTATAAACTTTTTCACAGTCCAAAATCCTGCATTTTATATGGTGCAGTCAGTCAATGCATATATATATATATATATATATATATATATATATATATATATATATAATATTTTTTGTAGCCGGCAAGGAGTTCTATTCCAATCCACAAACGCGGAATTTTTCGTATGCTTCAGTATTTTTTAAGAAGAAATGCCTGTCCAAGCAATGTTTTGTTTTCGTCTGCTTCTTCAAATAAAACCTAAAAGAAAAGAAAAAAAAAAATCCCCAAAAGATAAAGAGAAGGTATACAAAGACTGATTCAACATATCTCAAGAATTGATCTGCAGTTATAATTTATCAATTATATACACACAATTGATACGAATATGTAGTAAGCCTATTGATCTGCAAACTTAATCAAATCATTCAAAAATCTTTCCCATCTTTAGTAGTGCATCATGCTCTGCAATTACAGTGCTCTTGTAAAATTACCTAAGCTTCTCTATATTTTCTTCACGCTCACCTTTTTCTTTTATCTCATCATCCCTCATGCAACTCCACTAGAATTCAACTTCCCTAACATCACAGCAAGTGATCAAACCGCCACATCTAGAATAAGAACTGACAAAGACGCTACTATCTCAGGAGGAGGCCTCCAAGTCACCCAAGACCCGTCGCGGCCGGTTGGTCGAGCCAGATACATCGAACCACTGCACCTTTGGGACTATCCTTCTCGAAACCTGGCAGACTTCGAAACCCATTTCTCCTTTGTCATTGATTCAGAAGGAGGTTCAAAGTATGCCGATGGGCTAGCATTCTACCTTGTTCCCAACGTTTCCGATTCTGATATCACATCAGGCAGTGCCATTGGTCTTCCAGTCGACCTTACAACAATGAACTCCACCACTCCCTTTGTTGCTGTGGAGTTTGATACTTTTCCTTGGGGTGATTGGGACCCAAATTTCATACATGTTGGTATCAATATCAACTCTATGAAATCTGTTAACACGTCCATATGGAAGGGTAATATCACTGGAGGGGGAAAAAATGAAGCTTGGATTAGTTATAGTTCTGACTCAAAAATTCTCAGTGTTCGCTTCACTAGTTATTTTAATAATACCATAGTCCAACAAGGTAGCCTTAGTCATGAAGTTGATCTGCGCGAGTACTTAACGGAATGGGTTACTTTTGGCTTCTCAGCCTCAACGGGGGAATTTTATGAGACGCATACAGTTAAATCATGGAATTTCAGTTCTACAGATCCGGCGCGGGTGACACCAAGTCCTAGTCCAAGCTTAACAGATCCAGCACCAGTGACACGGAGCCCTAGTCAACGCCCCATACCCAAAGGAAAGAAGGAAAAGAATACAGCATTTGTGGTGGGATTAAGTGTTGGCTCATGTGTTTTTTTTGGTGGATTGGGTTTGATTGCCATTTGCTTATGGAAGAAAAGGTGTAGAGTTAAAGAAGAAGATGCATTTGTCGTTGATCTATCCATGGATGGTGAATTCGAGAAGGGTATTGGACCAAAGAAGTTTTCCTTCACTGAGTTGGCTCATTCGACAAGTAACTTCGCTGAAGAAGAAAAGCTTGGAGAGGGAGGGTTTGGTGGCGTTTATAGAGGTTTCCTGAGGGAGTTGGCTTCTTCTGTTGCTGTGAAGAGGGTGTCAAGAGGTTCTAAGCAAGGGCTTAAAGAGTATGCATCAGAAGTTAAGATCATTAGCAGATTAAGGCATAAGAATCTGGTGCAGCTCATTGGTTGGTGTCACGAAAAAAATGAGCTGCTACTTGTTTACGAGTTCATGCCAAATGGGAGCTTAGATTCCCATCTTTTCAAAGGAAAAAGCTTATTGACATGGACGATGAGGTACAAAATTGTCCATGGCTTGGCCTCTGCTTTGCTTTATCTTCATGAAGAGTGGGAACAATGCGTGCTACATAGGGATATTAAATCAAGCAACATTATGTTGGATTCAAATTTTAATACCAAAGTTGGGGATTTTGGGCTAGCCAGGCTTGTTGACCATGAAAAAGGATCGCAAACAACACTTTTGGCAGGGACAATGGGCTACATGGCTCCTGAATGTGTCATAACGGGCAAGTCTAGTAAGGAATCAGACGTCTACAGCTTTGGAATTGTTGTACTGGAAATAGCATGTGGAAGAAAACCCATTAATCTCAGGGCAACAGAAACTCAATCAAGAGTGGTGGAGTGGGTTTGGGACCTCTATGGAACAGGAAAGCTTCTTGAAGCAGCAGATCCAAAATTATGTGCCGATTTTGATGAGCAAGAGATCAAATGTTTGATGATTGTTGGGCTATGGTGTGCTCATCCTGATTACAATCGCAGACCATCAATAAGACAAGCAATTCATGTGCTTAATTTTGAAGCTCCACTTCCCATTCTCCCATCAAAGATGCCTGTACCAACATATTTTGCTCCTGATCCAGTGAATACACCTATATCTTCATTTCCATTGTCCTTTGATCCCACTGTCTCTGAGAGTAACCAAACCCATTATTCGAGCTACAGTTACAATACAGATTCCTCAAAGTTCACCACATCTTCTTCAACTTCCTCTGCAACTGCATCTCTTCTGCATACGCTGTAAGTTGATTGAAAGAATATCAAGTTCAAGATTGTCATGTAATTGAGGTGTTTTGAACTCCATTATCTTTTCTCTTTTGTGTTCTCATTCCTTGAGCAATATAGAAAGTTAATTCAATTTTCATACAAATTCTATATAAATTATTTTTAAAAGGTTTAGCATGCCTTTATACTATTAAATTGTATTTATATATAATTTTTTTTTTTAACCAAAATTGTGTTTATATAGGATTACTCGCATTAGTCTATTCTTTTCACATGTCTTGTTGTCCCGTGCATAAGTAGAACTTTTAGGGATGGCAATTGCACAAATGAATTTGGTGATCTGCAATGCCCAACCCTATTGTCATAAAATTGTTACACAATACTAGTTAAAAAAACAAGGACTAATAAATCACAGAAACTGAATAATAATAATAAAATAAGTCATAATCCCAAAAACTGAAATTTGAAAGAAAATACAACTCGGTAAGATAACATTAGACTAAAGCTTGATTTTGAAGACCATTAGAGACAACATTAGGCTGAAGCTTGCCTCTATCAGCCCAAAGAAAATGTTTTGTCCAGGAAATTAAATTGCTCCAGAATGGGACATTCACTCAGTTTCACATATGTCCTAATGGTCATGAAGGAAGATGTATGGACTATCTACTTGTTAGAACTGAATTACAGGCTGAACTTTTTGTTGCTTGTTTTGTACAGCTGTAGGCTCAGGGTCAGGACTCAGGGCCTTGCTTGTACAGTTTATAGCTCTAGCTTTTGTTGGATTTATTTTGGTACCATTTTGTTGGCATTATACTGATCGGAATTGTTGGAATTATTTTAAAACTCTAAAGATTATGTTGATTATAGAGTGCTGTTGTAGAGGGGTTTCTGAAGTTGAGGGATTTAGGAAGAGGAAAAGGGTGGTAGAGAAAATGCAAGGATCACTTGTACTCACTAATTGGCTAATATTTCATTAATTTCCTTAATTGCAACTCTGCACTACTTCCTAGCATCTATAATTAATAATTGCTTTCATTAAATTAGATCTTTATGCTGCGTTTCGTGTGCAATAATGGAATGGAATTCCAATTCCAATTCCAACCATTCCTTTGTTTGCTATGTAATTTAAAGTGAGAATGACCATTCCATTGGAAAAAAAATTCATTACACAACTAAACCTATGGAATGACCATTCCATTCCCAAGCACATTTTTTTAAAAAATCAACTGTAACGACCCGAACTCGGGTTCCGAATCGCTAACCGAGTGCTTATCCGAACCCGAGGTCATCTAAGGTAATACTGTCATTTCTAATATCAAAGCATAATTTGTACATCATTTAGTGTCAGGCAAGTCCGGTTACATTAAAATACTATAAAAGGAATCATAGTTATAATTACAAGGCCACAAGTTACAAAATTATACATATATCATACTAAAGCTTTACAAAAATGTGATTTAATTACAAAGGATAGCAAAAAAAATCTTCTAACCTGTTTAAGCCTGTGGTAGAATGCGTCCGCCACTTTCTTCCCGTGTCCTGAAAATAGTAAAGAATGGGTGAGCACAACGGCTCAGTAAGAGATGCCTAAGACACACATCTTAATGACCTCGTGAATCCAAACAAAGCATAAAATAAAGAAATACGAGATCATGCAATTTTGAGAGACAACACAACAATAACAGAGGATATCCAACCATTTGTACACAATGCCATGCCAATGGAATTCAATGAGATTATAATGTCGCTCTCCCATTTTCAAAACATTTTCGTTTTACCGTTCCAAACCGTTAATGCAACCCGACCCATAATAGCTCTATGGCGTCACGAGAGAAGGATTGACTAACTATACCTGACCAGAAGGCAACTCTAGGCATCATTTGGGGTCTAGTTAGCTCAACCACGTTAGGGTTTCTCCCTAATTTCCTCTAGGTCACATTAACGCCACAGACCACTAAGCAGCTCCTAGGCACCCGAATTATTGCAAACTACTTTTCAAAATCTTTCCTCAAAATATATTTCATTTCTTTTAAATTCATTTTACCCATTTCTTGCCCAATGTCATACATGAATGCTTCATGCTTTCAATGTCATACCAACATCAAACTTTTAGACATTTCATCCAAATTCAACAATATAACATGCTTTGTAAGAAACTTCTAAAGAATACATCATGCTTTGACATAACAATAATTTGGCACTCTAAACATACAAGGCAATAAATAAATTCACTTAAACATGCTTCCTCACAACGATTTCAAATAAACAATTATTCATCAACATAATTAACACGTAATCTCAAATATCACATTTCACCTATACACAACTTTAACCAAGAATTTCAATTTAAGCATGCATTATTCAAATTAAATAAAAATAACTCACAAAGATTAAAGAATATGAGTATTAAGGACCCCTACCCCAAAACGCAGCTAAAAGGCACCCCCGCCGAAAAGTTAACGTCAGTCAAAGCCGGTCAACAACGGCCGAACAAAAAATTATTCAGTGGAAACGTAACCGACGACGAGGAGAGTAAACTTCTCCAAAGGCGCGGCTCCAAAATCAGTCTCTAAGTGGCCCAAAACCCCCTCCGAAACCTTAGACATAAAATCTTCAAAAATTCATAAAAAAATAATCATTCTTCTAAAAATTAAATCCTTTGATCATGTGATAGATGATGGTGAGATGAACCTTTTTTGTTAAGGAATTAAGGCCGGAAACCCGACCGATTATCCGAAAAATGGATGAGAAATTTGAGCTTAAAAAAAAAAAAAAAAAAGCTTGTGGGGAGAGAAAAATGCTGCGTGAGAGAGAGAGAGAGGGGAGATTCTGCCAAACTGATAAGTGTGTGATGTATATATATTAAGCTTAAATCATGTGGGGTCCACTCAATCAAAAATATCTCATTTGTGTCCTTATATAAACATATACACAGGTACGTACACTAAACACACCACAAGACACGTCGGAACACATAATCACATAAATACGCATCAGATAATAATATATAAAGAGTAACGACATCGAGAAATAATTTGTTGGAAAATATATGCTTCATATGACATTTAAGATATAACTAACCTTATACTAATATGCCATGAGATAATTAATAATATGATAAAAATAAATAATTAATTATTCAACTCGTTATTTAATTAAACATGCAAATTAAAACAATAAAATAATAATAATAAATAAAGAACTTGGACCGAGGCTAGTATTGGATAGTATGTCCTTAAGACAGATTCGTCTCGATATGGTGCTAACGAACTTAGTAGCGTCTATCTCCTAGGATACAATGGTCTACATCCACCAGTAGCAGCACTACAAACTCATAAATACGGTGAACCTCCTCCATGCAATACTTTCTCTGATTCAAAAATGCATCTATACTATATAAATGTTAAATTGAATGCAATTCGAACCAAATGATTCAGACCAATCTTAATATAGTTCGATGAAATTGGATTAGGGTCTTAGTTGTGATGTTTTCGATTTTCAGAATTTTTCATTTTTCTGGAAATTCGTTGGTGCAAGGGTATTTCTGTCTTTTCGCATTTTGTGGTTAGGTCCAATTGCATTTTGTGCACTTTAATTTATATGGTTGTGTGGTGTTTTATTTGGTGGTGTATGTATTTAAATATATGTGAGGTGTAAAATATAAGACAAAAGAAAAAAGGAAAAGAAATTCAAAAGTGGTTGGACCCACCACAATCTCAAAAGTGGTCTAAAGACCACATTTCCCTTCTCATTTTCTCTCTCCCCGTAGCTTCTCTTTCTCTCTCTATTTTCTCTTCATTTTCCTTTTCTTTTGAGAAGCAAACTTTGATCCAAGATTCCATCTTCAATATTTGGAATTTTTTAGTGCCGTTTGAGGCAAAACGGAGAGCACGACGAGCTCTACGGGTTTGTACCAGAAATTCCAGCTTTGAGCCTCCCTAGGGATTTCGAAATTCTTGACCCATTTTAAGGGTTTTGCATCAATTTGAGTAGGGGTTCTTAATTCATGTTTTTCTTGCTCCTTGGTGAATTATATCTCATAAAATGTTGCAAGCATGTTTAATTTGAATGTTAACTATTTTAAAGATCTTCTAAGTGTTGTTTAGAAAATACATGATTATGTATATGAGTTGTTTGGTGTGAAAAGCATGCTTAGATGTTGTTTGGTTATGTGTAATGTGTTGATAAATTACTTGAGATGATGAAAATGGAATATGCTTAATTGTGTGGTGTAATTTCTCTAAATTCTGTGGCATTGAAAGCATGGAACATATACATGTGCATATCATTGGGTTCTCATAAAGGAAATTGTTTTGAAATAAAAATGGGAATTTTGGGGAAAGTGTTTTGACAAATTGGTTTTATGAAAACCCGGTCGCCGCGGGGGTACCAAAGAGCCGGAGGGTTAATATAGCCTAGAGGGAATTAGGGAGATTGCCCTAGCGTGGTTGAACTAACTGGCCCAAAATGACGCCGTGGGGGTACCAATGGTCAGGGACACTAGTCGATTCTTCTCTCATGTCGTTGTGGGGTCACCAAAGGGCGGGTTATATTAACTGTTTGAAAGTAATAGTTTTGAATGTGAAAAAAAAATGGGGAGCGACATCGACATGCACTACACTCCCATTGCATCATATTGTATATACTTGAGATTGATTGTTATATGATATTGTCCCGACACTGTATGATCCCCACTTCCTATTACTCTATTCTTTGTATAGATTCACGATGACACAAGAGACGTGTCTTAAGTACCACCTACTGAGCGATTCGCTCACCCCAATATATTCTACATTTTTTTTCAGGACATGGCAAGGAATTGGCGGATGATAATCCACTACAGAACTAAGGGAACTTGAAGAGCATTTTGAATGTATTTTGTTGAATTTGAACTTATTTTGTAAAGCATATAATGTAAAATATATTAAGTTCATTTGGTATGTAAAGGATAATGTAATTAGAAGCTTGAAATCCATTTTGATGTAAGTTGCCCATGATGTAAAGTCTCCATTTTAGCTTCCCTTTCATTTTCATATCACAGTATGTTAAGTTTAGGACCAAGACTCGAAGG